CACACACACACACACTTTCTGTCCTCTTCCACCAAGGCACTAAGATTTCATTCAAGTTTATCATTACACAAGTGCTTTATGCATTTTAAACCCCCACATTTGTCTCAATCCCAGAGCTACCTCTGCGAGCCTATCCAGAGTGATTCCCCATTCGTCTCCCCTCCTGCTCACACTGTACACTAAAGTGATGTGTCAGCTCGGCAGCCGGCCAATCAGGCGGCCCTGCTGTGAATCAGCTGGCCTGCCAGTCACATAGCTAGTCATCCAGCCAGGCGGGCAGGAGTCGGTTTGCGGTCCTGCCTGCTGCTTTGCGCCGTGACGTGACCCCCTGCTCGGCCGTGTGTGACGAGGTCGTTCCGGTGGAGTCGGGTGGGGAGCAGCAAAGGGCACACAGAAAGCGAGGGGAGAGTCTGAGAGGTGTGACAGCAGCTCCAGCCCCCACCAGGCCCCATCATAACAACAAACAAGCCCTTAGCCAGCAAGAGTTGGCCCGCACACACCCTGATGGTAGATAGCGCTCGCTTCTGAGGAATAACGTGGCAGAGTGACAAACCTGCAGACAACTCATCGATAAATACAGCGAGGGAAGAACAGAGCAGAGCAAAAAGGAGCAAGGGGCATTAAAAAAAGACCATCTCTTTCCCTTTACACTTTCTTTGTTAACTTCCACCTGCTACATTCAAAGCGGCTGTGCCCACATCGGCCACAGACAGAGAGAGGGAGAGCCAACCGTGGGAAACCGGGGCGCAGGAGACACGAGGGGGGGGATGAAGGAAGGAACAGAGGGTGGATGAGGCTTGTAAAGGAGAATCAATTCACCAGGTGATTTTCAGAGTGGTTCTGCCTGGCTTCACCCAGGTGTCAGGATGACTTCGGCTCAGCAGGAGCCCCCCTCTCCCGCCGCCCCCCCAGGGATGTTGTCAGAGCTGGAGAGACATAAGGGGATTTGAGAGGGAGAATGAAGAAGGTGGGCAAAGATGCAGTCATGCAGGCAGATAGAGATGGACGTGCAGGCAGAGGCGGAGCGGGAGAGACGGGGAGGGGAAAGAGATGGAGACAGAGGATAAAGGTAGATAGACATAGGGTGGAAATAGAGGGAACAGTAAGGTAAAGAAAGGCAATAAATAAAGGCAGAGACATTTAAAAAAAAGACAGAAATTAGAAAAGAGAGGAGAGGAATGTTAAATAACTAATCAACAGCAAAATCAGGAAGTGAGAGGGACCCACCACCACAGCGGCGCCATGACAGAACTAATGCATTTCACACACAGTCACTTTTAAACACACACCCATCAATCACAACTCAACTCAGTCTTTCATCTAATGGATGTGTTTAACCAACTTCCCCCACGGTATCCCATCCAGCCTCACACTGCGCACCCCAAAGAGAAACAGCTGTCACCTCAGTGCCAGGTAAATGGGGAACTAGAATTAATGTAAAACCCGATTTCACAGCATCAGCGGCAGCAGCATCAGCAGCAGAAGATCCACGTCTGCGTTTGTCAGGAGTCTGTTTTCTTTCTGAGGATGCTGCAGGGCCTCAGTTGGTGCCCTGGTTGAAGTGCTCCAGCACGGTGGCGTTGGTTCTCTCAAACAGCCACTGCTGGTTGGGGGAGGAAGGGTCGCACGTGTTCATGAAGACTCGCCGCTCAGTCGGGTTGCAGTCGATACAGCTGTTACTGACGGGGTGATATAGACTCTTATCCTGGAAGGACGGAGGGAGGGAGAAATAGGAAGACTTGTCAAACGAATGAAATAAGGCTGTTTTTCTTAGCTAAGCTTAAATCTACTGGTGAATTGGCAGATTTAACCAGTTTTCTACTAATTTTAGCTGACTGATGACCATTTTCCAATAACTTGAGTTGAACCTGCTTTTTTTTTTCAATCCACCAACACCAAGGTGGGACAGGGACCATTTCAATTCTTTTGGTGGTGCATTCATTGCATTCTGATATCAAAGATCTAAGCCACTCCAATTTAACCCTCGTTTAGCATTTATAAACAGTATAATACACGTTTATAACCAACTAAAATGCACTTATTAGCAGATATAAGAACTTTTAAATGTTTATTAATATATTTTTCATCAACTTTAAATTCCATTTATGAAGCACCCATAAAAGATAATGAATGATTGACAAATGGTAAATGGCTGCATTCATTTAACGATTTTGTTTCAAACCATTAGTGCTTTGAGTTTACTTCCTGTCCACATGTAAATGAGTGGATTAGTGGATGACTCTAACTCCTGAGCTACAGCTGCCCCCAATATATGTATATATGCATGTGTAACATGTTTTATATCAATATAAAATACTTAAAAAGTATTATATATTATATTTATTATGTGATGCATAGTCATTTGTTTAATCTATTAATGAAGTATTTTTTCCTTTATAAATACATCTTCACTCTTTTTTTTACATCAAACTACTATTTTGTAAATTGTAAAGTTCAAGATGTGTTCATGAGACAGATTTGGACATGTGTACTGTAAATAGATGCATTATTGGGCACTATAAGGATTAGTTCTGATGTATGAATACAGACTTTATAATTATTTATACACCAGTGATGGATGCTTTATAGGGGGACATGTAGTCATAGTTTTATCAGCTTAACACCACACTACAGTTTGTTATAACCAATGTATCAAGTGTCTTTATACTGCTTATAAATGCTAAATAAGTGGGGTTCAAGTAAGGGGTTGCACATTTAGGATTGCACTACTGAGATATGTTCAGACAGGCTGATATATCGCAGGTTAGATAGCACTTCTGATTCTAGTCCTATATGTATTTTGTGATTGCTTTTGGACAAATTGAAAGAAACAATAGACCCGCTCTTGTCATGCACAAGATGAGCTGTTGTTGTGTTTTTTATTCTGTTTTAACTGAGTTGCAGGGTTTTGGGGAAGTGTTTGTTGCAGAAATCTCTCTGTATTTCTGCTGTCTTTATCTTTTTGCTTCAAACGGTTTACTGAGACAAACAAGCTTGTTTGTGACACTTCATTAAATACAAATGTGGCCTCCTGTAACTGAGCTTAAATGCATAACAACAGCATAATGAGGTCCTGTGAATATCCATCAGCTTCAGGGTAGATTCTGTCTAAAAGTGCAAAACCCTGTAGAATGATTAAGTACCCTTGAAGTCATTTATTTTATAACAATTATGTTTAGAGCTTTGTTGTTTTGTACAGGAAGGAAGGAAGAAAACAAAAAGTTCAGGAAAATAGAAACTGACACACAGAGATAATGTGTTTATAGCTTGGGCTTTGACACTTTCCTCTGCCACTTTCTCTCTGTTTGGAGCTTTGTTGTTTTGTACACAAAGAAGAATGGAGCGGGAGAACAAAATGTTCAGGAAAGAGAAACTGACCTACAGAGATAATGTGTTTCTAGTTCGGGCTCTGACACTTTCCTCAGCCATACCTTTCTGTAGCGCCACAGCTGGTTGCCTTTCATGCCGTGACAGTCGTACAGGGTCACAGGGCTGTTGTGGGAGATGGCGTCGAAGCAGACTTTTTTAGTGTGCATGGGATCACCCACCCGAATGTCCTCTCTCCAGCCGAATGTGAACACCTGCAGGACATAAATACGTTCTTTATAATGCCATGTTGAAACATTTAAATTCTACAGCAAAGGGAAATATGAGAAATGGGGTGCTGATCAGTGGGACTGTTCTTAAACCCTCCAAGTTTCTCCAAAACAACTGTGGTCTTTTCCAACCACTTCAAGCAATAAAGCACCAAATTATGTTCTGTTTTGTGTTTTCCAGTTAAAAATAATGTGCCCCTATTTTCGCTTATTAGTGTAATGAAAAAAAGTGTAAGAGAGAGTAAAAATCTCAAAGCAGGAGAAATGTTTTCTCTTAACTTAAGAATACGTATTTTTTATTTTTCTTCTTCCCTTTAAACTCTGTTTTTAAACCCTTGCCCTCTGTTTTACTGGCTAGACATAACTAAAGTTTTACTTTTCTAAAGTGTCAATGTTACTCTCTCTGAGTGCTGCTGTGGCCTTTGCACTCATCATTTTTGGCTGGGTATTGTGTTGGTTATACTGGCTATTATTATTAATCCATTAAATTGTTTCTCTCTCAAAGAGTTCATCTGCGGATCAGAAGCAAGTGTAGTGAATAAGTGAATAAAATCAAATCTCACTAAAAAGGTTCATTAGGACTTGCAAAAGCTGCTGAATATTTTCTAGGCAAATCAAGGTTAAACGTGTTGAACTGTGCTGCAGCTGAAAACACCATCGCAGGTAAATTATTTATATTCTGCCTGACTGTAGCGATAAAGATGACACATGGTTGGGGATTCACCAAATGTACATTGCAGGTATATTCAGACACAATGGCTTTACACTTAACCACTGAGAAGACAAAGAAGTAAACATAGGTGTAAATAATGCAAAACTTTGCAAGTTATTTCTGAGGAAGGAAGTGCATTCAACATGTTTCACAATGTGTGAATGCAAATATTAACTTTGTTTGCTTACGGGAAAACTGCACGGGGCTTCAGGGATTGTGCCATTAGTCATTGTGGCATCTGAATATATATTTTAATTTAAGTATAATTCCTGTGGCCATGGGTCTGTGTTCATCACAGAACAAGAAACAGCAGATAAAATGAATATTAATGCTCAAGTACTGAGTCCCTATGCACGTTACCAAACAAACAATATAATAAGCGCAATTTAACATAATATACTGTATAATATATATTATGATATATGTTATATATGTCCCCTATACAGTGTGTGCTGAAATTCATCACTAACATCTTTAATGATCATTAAGGATTAAAGCAGCTCCACAAACTTTACTGGTCATCAATATTTATTTATCTAAAAACTGCAACGAGATCGCAGTGACTCATCACACTCAGGAGAGTCTGAGACACTTTGATTGATGATGTCTTTAATGGTCGTCTGTTTTTTATCTAATTGTTTGTCACTGTCGTTCCATTGATCTCAACGTTCCATTGATCTCAATATCGTGGTCATTTCTGAGATGACCACGATGAACACAGCAGTCAGAACTGATAAGTGGATGTTTTTACAGAGCCATATCCTTTTGCTCTTTTTACATCTGTCATATATTTCTATCCTTTAAGAAAGAAAAAAAAATATGTATACGTAATAAAAACTCTGAATTGGACATGCAGTGATATACATGTGGCCGTCGTTCCTCCAGCTCACAAAGACTTTCTGAATGACTTCCTCCACTCCTTTTGTGGAGAATCAAAAAACCCTGACAAGGACAGCTGCCAGAAGGCCTCCTGTGATTTGCACTGAATCCATTTCTCGCTGGTGCCGAATACAGATTGCAACTGTGACACAGATTAAACTACAATGCATCTTCAGATTAAAGCAATTAAACTGTCAGAGCTCTGAGGCGCAGTATTTCAGCTGCGGAAATAAAAGGGGACACTCAATCCATTAAGGTTGTACTATGAGCTCGGCTTAAAGATCTTCAGCGTGACGTGTGAGAACAAACAGACTGCTTTAGAACAATGCAAAGATAATGAAGCAGCACAGTGCGCGTATGTTGTTTACGTGTCTGTTTAAGTTCATTTGACATTAATGTGTGTTTAGCAGAAGAAATACAATTGCTAAGGAGACAATCTATCAACAATGGTGAAATCTCATTAGGAAAAAAACAATTCTTTTTGGGATGGTGTGGTCGAGTGGTCTGAGAGTCTGCCCCTATAAACAAATTTTTTTAACACGAGGCAAAAGGTGTGCCAGGTGGATAACACAAGAGCCAATCCTAAACTCACCTATGGTATCCAAAATGTGGTCGACCCGAGAGAGAACGCCGGTAACAGCATGATGCTCAACCAATTAACAAGCAGCCTCAGTCACAATGAGCAGCAAGATATCATTTTTCTGCCCTACACCGGTAACAATGATTGTCGGCCTTAAAAAGTGTCACTTTCTCCTGTGGTTATGATGATGATGATGATGACACATCACATGATCAGAGCTGAGGCACTCAGTTATCACACATATCACACAACAGGACAGACTGAACAGTTTAGACTGATACATATTTGGACCCAGCCCAACTTGGTACTAGATCAGGTCTCGGTTACTAGGAAGTGGACCCATGAAGACCTCTTCTCATAGCACCTAAGCAGTGCCCAAGACGCTAATATTCTTAATAATCCACTGAAATTCAATACAAGACAAACAAAATACAAAAAACCTTCACATATTTATTAATTAATTAACTGTAACTGTTTTAGTGTCTTTCATTTTAATTTGTGCATGATTTATTTAATATTATCTTCTCTCTTTCAAGTTCTGTTGTAATGGCCAAAGGACAAAGTAATACTTAATTCCTTATTATAAGGCCTGACTTAAAATTTCTGTGTCTTCACCAGAAAAACAGGCCTCACGTGTTTGAACTAGGCTTTTTATTCATAGTGTTTTTATTTTATTGCTGCTCACCTGTCCGTGGCTCCAGCTCACCTCGCCCCGCCCCTTCACACAGCTCTCCAGGCGGATGGGACTTCCTGATACAAAGTGTTTACTCTCCATACACATGCCACTGCCCACGTTACGAACCTACAGCACAAACAGCAAAGTCACAAACGAGGACACAAGAGATGTTCGGCTGTTAGTTAGCAGACACGATCAGCATTCATACCAAGATAATTTTAAGTATGGAACAGTGACTGGAGGTTCTCTTATGAAACCATAATCACACAGGACATTACGCACAAAAAATAGTTGAGGCATACTCTTAGGTTGGTTTATTTTGGGAGGGAATAACATGCAAATTATTCTGTGACTCACATTAAATAAATGGGCTCTCTCGTCCCTGAGTGCAATCAGACTAAATTTCCAGACAGCAGCCACATACGACAGACTGATATGATTATTAGAGCCAACTGGCCCAAATTTTCTTGACAGATTATTTTAGAAGAAGCGGTTGATCCTGATCTTTTGGTCCCATTGTTATATTGAAATTACTTTTAAATGGTTAACTTAATAGTGTATTTCTGTCTGTGCTTTTACAGCTCACAGGAAATATCACAAGAAATAAAATACATGAATTCATAAATATTCAAAGCTTGGCTTGGTTCATGACAAACTATTTTCAGTTTCATGCTGACTTTACCTCGCCCCAGGCTGCAGCAGGAGGCTCCACTGGTGGGTAGTGTTTGGGTAGATCCCAGGCCACCTCGCTCATGAACCACTTGAAGCTCTTGCAGTTGAGGTGGTTCCTCAGCTCCTTCTGGGCTGTCATGTCTCCCGCTGACAGGTGGCGGTACTCAGGCCGACGCTGGTACACGTATTCGGCGTATTCGTCCATCCACACCTCTGCCACGCGCTTCAGATTCTGAAATCGGAGGCGAACAAGTTTGGTTTTCATTCAAAATTTTAGACAATCCAGACTAATATCTCATGGGAAAACAGACATCCAGTGTTGTCCATGTCCATGTTTGCTTTGGGGTGTAAAGGTTTATCTTTGAGATTCAGGGTCTCACCCAAGAGCAGAGGGAGGAAGAGGAATACTCTAGAGGAAGAAGAGTTTGAAGAAGAGCAATGGCAGAATGCAGAAAAAGTAAATGACAGCAAAATACTCGTTTAATATTTTGTTTGTCATGTAACTGCCAATGATTGTTAAAATAAAACTGTGCCGGACAGTAAAAAACATTTTCACTTGAAAGTCCTGCAGTCAACTGGCTTGTTAGCAGATCTTTGTGCTTCTGGACATCAAGTCGTCATTGAAACACAGACTAAGCCATCATCTCTACATCTTGCCATCCTTGATGTTTTGATTGATCTGACATGACAGAATGATCAAAGCCACTCAGCAGAAAGGCGGCCAGTGTTCTCACAGGACCTGTCATCGTCTCCCAGAAGGCGAGATATTCAAAAATAGAAGCAACTTGTCTCTAGTCATGAAAGCAGATACAACTGAACTCAATTATGAGATAATTTACAGGGAGGATGGCTTCAGAAAAGACGAAAATGTTTCTGTTGCTGTGTCTTGCTCTTTTCCCCTTTTACTCTCTGACATGTTAATTATAACAGATGCAGCTTATCACACTATCTAATGAAACACTTGACTTTTGAATTCTGAACCGCACAGAGCCAAAAAACAGATCAATATAAATAAAATAGCATAGTTCAAACCTATATATTTATTATATTTAGTTGTTCCCCAGATTTTCCACAAACAACATATGTCTATGTGCAGTACTGGGAAATGTAATGTATTAAGACCACCTGGGCACCCTGGTGGTCATTATGTGATGCAGCCCAACAAGCTGTGATGCACTGTGTCATCTGACACAGTCAATAAAGCTTAAAAATGTCTTGCATGCATGACTTTCTAAATGTTACAAAACTCTGGTAACTTGAAACAACAGTATATATATAGAACTGTATAAATCGAAAAATTATGAAGCAGGTTGCAACTCTGTTTCATTCCATTTTAACAGAGAAACCTGCAGGTTTGACCACTTCCTGGGGAAAATCATGTGCTAAGGACGTGTCAACTATGTGAAACATGTGAGTAAAAGACAGACCATTTTGACTTTAAGATACAGGTAACAAAAAGAAAAGTGTCAGAGAGAATATATCCTGAAACCAGCATTCCATATATGGTACAGTTTGCCTGATAGTGTGTTAGTAATGACACAGGCATAGGAAGAGTGCTTGTTTTTTTTTATTGAAAATTAATGCCAGTGAAAACGTTTACTAGCATGGGAGCTGATTTTACATTTGAGAAGTAGCTTTTTGATTCTTCTTTAATCTTTAAATGTCTTTCGATTGTGTTTAAACCGTGTGACAGGTGTTTTCACTAGACTGCAACAAAAGCAGGTTGGAATTAAAGACTTAATAATATTCCCTAATAATATATACACCTAATAATATTCAAAAAGTCAGACATTCGGTGACAATGTCTCTTTCAATCATTATGAAAGTATCTAATTTCAGAATGAAACTGTCTAAGTGGAATAAAGAAGATAAGCAGGTGACTGATAGAACTTGTGAGCAACGACAACTGCAGGGCAGACAGCTTCCTCAACAGGCTCTTTAAGCTCCGACAATTGCAAACATGAAAGATTTACACCTGAGCAATGGGAAATCCATCCATCTGAAGCCTGTCAAGTGTAAAGGAGTAAAAAACACAGAGCCTGTCAGCCTCTGAGGTACAGATGCATGTCTGAGAATACAGATGGTAGCAGCCTTGGAGGTATGGATGGTGAAATGAATGAGAATACAGGTTCAGTGAGCCTCCAAGCAAAGTATAAATACAAATCTTCCGGCCTTTCGAGGTACAGATGTAGAGGAAAAATGCCTCCAGCCACACACACACACACAGACTCCCTGTGGCACAGCTCATTGCCTGCAGCGAAACTCACACCCTCCAGGTGAAGTGGAGTTCAGTGATTCTCCCTTCATGTTGACTGGACTCAGGGCATCTGTACCTGCTAAAGGGACTCACCTGCTATTGTGGTTTATAAAATATCTTTTAATTAAGCGATAGAAAACAGTTTTTCTCACCATGGAACAGTTATGTGGATGCCTACCTAATCTACAGCAGTTAAAGAAAAGAAAGGAAAAGAAATACCTGGTGTTTTTCTCACCTCAGGCAAATCATTTTTATACCATGACTGGAGATTGTCTTGGTGAAGCGTAACTAAAACCTTAAACTAACCAAACTCCTTTCTGACTCCCCTTAAAAGAGAACTGCAATACAGCAAATTAGTTTAGCACATCCATAAAGCCAAAAGATACATTTTGAAAAAAAGGACAAAATCAATGCTGCAATCTCCTGTATGGGTATAGATCCAAAAACAGTTTTTTATAATGTAACTCTTGCAAACTCCTCCAGTTTGTTACACAGGCTTTCTGTCTCTGTAGGTTCACCATAAAAAAGGGGAGGTGAAGGTGTAAACTGTGACTATTCTTTTCTATGCTATAAAACAATTTATGATTACAGTTTCGTCCTCATAGTCCTAGGCAGATAATAAAGCTTCATGGTTGACACTTCATCATCTTATGCAAACTTTGACTCAAATCAGCCTTCCAGCTTTGCTTTTCTTCACCCCCATCAACCATACCCCTTGTGTTGTATAAAGCTTGTCTGTTTTTGGTCTGAAAGCCTGCTGGCTAGATTTCAAAATGCTATTCATTTGCCAAAACACGTGTCTCCATTAGCATTTTCAGGTCATCCACATTCAAAGGCCAAAAACAACAAGAAAATAGCTAAATCTCTTCTTCTTCCTCCACCTTTAATCGCTAACAAAGCCCTTTCTAAAGAGCTCCCTTCTGCATCTGCTCCAGAACTAGTTGCAATAAAGCTCTTTGCATTTATGGCATTTTCTCTTCTATCTTGATTGTCAAGTCTTTTGTGTTGCTGCTTTTGGCTATACAGCCCTTCTAGTTTTTCAAAACCTTCAAACAGTTTTCTATCTGCACCTTTGTGAAAACAAACTTAAATGAAGCATCTTCCAACTCAGACTATCCTATTCGATCGAGGACACAGCTCTGTTTGTGTTTTTATGCTTTTGCAAAAAAAAAAACCCTACTCTGTTTTCTCTACCATCAGCCAGGCTATAATGTATACTTAACAGTATGACAAACATACTCATTCAGTCAACTAAAGCAAATCGGTTCAAAAGGCAAGGCCCACTTATGTATTTGATTCTTTTAAAACTTCTACACAGAGGACGACGCTGGGGACAAAACAAAATTAATCACAGCCTGAGGTACAGTAATTATATCTGTATTGTTAAACCTGCTGCCTGTTTGATATTAGCATTCAATATAGCCTCAGTGAGGGGCTAATGGTCAGACCGACAAGGCAAAAACAAAGGCCAAGAGGTTTAATTACATATTCAGCCGAGCCAAACAGAGCCAGGTGTCAGACTGAGGCTGAGTCATGCATGATGAATATCATTCAGCTACAGCCAGAAATTTCTTTTTAAATTTCTCATACTCATAACCAAGTGTTAAAGCTCACACAGAATGAAGAAACTTGTGCTCATTATTGGAAGACTGTAAGTTGTAGATTGTGGATACAGGGGTCTGATATGTGCATTGAAAGTTAAAGGGTACGAAATGAGCTAAAATTCACTGAGTGATTATCACCGTGGTGTCCAATGCAGAAATTAATTTAAATTGTCAGTTTCTCAGTGACACCTCAGTTTGAATACAATATCAACATTTTTAGATACTGTACTCCACAGATTTAGCATAACATTTTCAGACTCACGACGGTCCAGTTAGATATTTGGGTGTGATAGTAGTGGCTAACGTAGCCTTGAACAGCTAGCCTCAACACCAAATGTAGGGTAAGACCAGACTAGTGCAGGGCAATATACCGGATGAACCGGTGTTACCAGTTTTAAATTCCCTTATGATATGAATTTTTCATATACGCCATACTGTTGCATAGCTGAAACAAGAGCTGTAACTCGTTTGTTTCTTGTGCAATAGAACATTTGAAAAATATCTCTCTGAATACTTTGAGTATTTTATGTCAGTTTACATATAGAGTTTATACATTTATTTTTTTATATTTTGTTTTGAAAAGAAAGCAACAAGACCTCTAACCCCAATGTGTTGTGTAAAATCAATGGAGTTCCCCTTTCTTAAATGTTACATGTTGTCTACTCACAAGCAGCTGTACAAGAACAGCTTGATCTACAGTTTTTGATATTAAGTGCTATGAATACATTTTACATTTTTTAACACGCAGACGCTGTTTTATTTGTTTGGTGATATCTGATGCTGAAGATTTTGTCACCAACCCAGGACATTGAGGGTGAATGGGATTTAGTTAGTGGTGCTTAAAGTGAAGCTTAAACATACATTTGTAATACTACTTATTACTACTTTAGGCTATCTACAGACCTTATTGTTAACACTTCATACAAACAAATCTATCCATTGCCATTCCATTCAACCACATTGTACTGGAGTAGCAGCAGATGTCTTAGTGGCAGATTCCTCAAAACATGTCCTCCATATCTTTTGCGTTTGTTTTATTTTTTGAAGTGCAATGTACAAAATCACTAAACCTCCACACATTCCATGTAAAACACTTGACCATAAGATGTTTGCATAGAAACATAAATAAAGGCAAAGAACCAGAAATGGAAATTAGATGCTTTTCCCCGCAAGTGTTTCAGACCATTATTCTGTAAAGAAAGTCCTTGGGTCCACATTAAGTTTTGCTATAAAACCATCTGAGACTCACCCTGGCCAGACTGACCCCACCAGGAACTTTGTAGGGGACGTACTTCCTGTAGATGTGTCCTACCCTGGAGCAAGGGATGTCCTCCATCCGACCACCACACATCCATACCTACAGAGACACAATGAGAGATTCAGCAGTGAAAAAGATGATATCAGAGAGAAGGGGGGTGGGGGGGTTGCTCAAAGCTGGTGCATTGGTGTTTGTGTAACTGAACAATGTGAATATCAGATGAGCAGACAAGGTCAACTACTCAAAGAGATGAAACAAACAGCGTGAGAAAGACAAAGCGTGGGAAGACACTGTGAAGATAAAGCAACATGGAGGCAACAAGGTTGGGGTGTAAAGAAAAGGAAAGATGGAAGGAGTGGGAGTATGACTCAAGCAGGGGGACATGAAGTAATGTATACTGTCTGTACATGGTTGTACGGTATGTTGACTGGTTTGTATCCTACGCCTGTGAAAAAGAGAAAATGAAGAAAGAAGTCAGAGTAGAGATGTACAGTCAGACTCATGTTTACGACCAGATTAATAGATTAATATGATGTGAGGCTGGTCAAGCTTCAAAAACTGCTAATATTATTTATGATCTACAAAACGTGCAGGAGTGTGAACACAATTCAAACAACTCCACAGAAAGTTCATGTGTTTCTAGACTGCAGAGAGACCAGAGGGAGTGAATGACATCAAAGAGAACAAGACAAGTCAATCATGCTTAGCCTAATGACAAAGACTGAAATTGGATTTGTTATGCTACTTTTGGAAGGCAGAGCCACCTTTCAAGTCTACTGGATTTGAGTATTTTAATTTTTTAAGATATATCTTGAGCGATGTATGAATTTAAACTTAATCAGAGCAATCTGAGGTCAGAAGGTCAGAAAGTAAAAGTTAAGAACATATTTACAATTTTCACTTTAAGTATCTTAATAAACATTTGCCAGTTAACTGCTGAACTCATAAATGTATGTATTATTGTATTGCAAAAATCTTTGAAAGTGTGAAATAGCTTAACTCTCTAACTTAGGAAAGTGTAAGACTTAACTTAAGGACCATATCACTGTTTTACCTAGTTACTAAGTGTAAACTTCACATCAGCAAACCATCCTGAAAACCATCCTGAAAACCATGTTCCTATCAAAACCTAATGGAGATCAAACGGCAGAATATTAAAACTTACTTGAGGTGAACTCTAAATTGCTTTGTTAAAATCACATTATTATGAGTTGCTATCATCAATCTTAATTCAACCTGATAGTTGTACGGCTCCAACTACTTATTATTTTCATTAATAATTCATCTCTTGATTCTTTTTTCAATTAATCTTAACTGTAAAATGTCTTGCCCTTATATTTTTGTTTGACGGGCTGATTGTTCCAACACTTGTTAATTGATCTTACAGAGATAAATGGAAACCAATAGCTGCTAAAAACTGCATATGTCAAAAGATGAAGTATACATGATTTATACACTGATATGGTCTTTTAGAATAAATCACCAATTTGATCCCTTTTTCAATTGATTGTGCAACATCATTCAAATGAGTCATATCCAATACAAACATGTAAAACTGTGACAAGTTTACTGATCACAGCCATGCTGGGTTATTCATACATTCCTTGACCTCTCTTGCCATCTCAAAGCACACCATCCTCCACAAATTCCCAGATCTTGCAATCTACTCCTACACCTGTCGTGACTAGAATCTTTCGGTTCTTATAGGGAAAACTACTTTGATATATTCATTTTTCCACTGCACTGCCTGCATTCAGATTGACTTGCAATGCACAGGTTGGAGTTTGGTGTCTTTCTCAAGGACATATGTATGATGATGGGCATAGCCTGTTCACAGGGGATGCTCAGTGAGTCAATAAAGAGAAAAATGTTGCTTTTTCCCTGACAGATGGACTTCTGTTTGGGACTTGATAATTTCCAGTTTGTTGATATTCTGCATCACTCCCCTTCCTGATTCTCCAGAGTGGACATCAGCTGGCTGTTTTTTCAATTCAATTACTGCTTGTCAAGTTTGTTGCACCGCTACAGCTTGGACAAACAGAACCGAGGGAAATAACAGATTGAATCCACCCTCCCCCCATCTCGCTGTAGGTAAGGTCTGACCTGCTGCGCCAATCCCTTCCATCGTCTTCATCCCTGACTGAAACACTTGAGCTTAATAACAGGGGCGCCTCGCTGCAGGAGGGATCAAGAGCTTGAGTTCAGCGCCCCTAAGATTAAATTGAAAGTCTTATCACTCACCTCAAACAGACAACCTCTCCAATCTGCTCACCTCAAACCATAAAGACTAAAACCACACCATCATGGCACGGGGCGGCATTACCATCTCTTTTTAAAAATAATAATGACTTCATTAATATATTGCAAAGCAAGTTACACAATGCAATAGCACTGGTGCTTGCCAATATTCTACAATGCACATGGCCCTGTCAACATCACCTGCATTTACATACACATAATTAATCTAATCTAATTATTTCTGATTCTTGACAGTATTTTTTGAAAAAGTCATGCAAATGAGGAACATGGTTTCATTTATGATATTAATAGACAAAGAGTAACATGCTGTAGGTGCTGGTCTACTGATCAAAAGTGGTTGTGGCTAAGAAACACAGCAATGTCACACTGAAGGCAGGGAAGAAGCAAACTGCAAGCTAAGGATCTAAACATGTGTAGGTTTCAAACATTGCTGCATCTTTCTGTTATAATGCCAATTTCCATAGATGACCTGAAGTGTGTTATTGCCCATTAAGCTAAAATGAGCATTAAGTCTAAAGATTCCTGATGTTCAGGAAAATAGGGTATGGTCCTCTGACAACTGTCAACTAGCATTCAGCAATAATATAACAAATATCATCCTTTATCTTTTTTCTTTAGGGAAACCTGTAAACTGAAAACCGATATAAAGCTCATACATTGCTACAGTTTAATAGCTTGAAGGTTCTGTTATCCTTGTGTGATAAATAACCACTTAGCTAATTGTTCTTACAAAGCAGTTCATTATTAAAAGGCCAAGTCCCAATATCTCATGTCTTAAGTTTGTATAGTCAACATTAGAGTAGATTTGGACTAAACATGCTTTGTTTGAGCACATCTTTTTCTTTTTTTTAACGTTCAGTTGTTTGACAGGTTCAGCATTGCTTGTTGATGAAGATTGTTATTTTCATAAAATCCATATCGTTTAACTGATATGGACTACAGCTTCTTCTGTCTTCTCTGCCCACTATCTGCTCTTTTACACTACTGATGTTGCCTCTGTAAAGGCATAATGCCTCACAGTGAATAATTTGGCTTTCATGCATGCCATACAGTATATGTTTAATCACTATTACATCAGCATCAATTAGCAAAAATGGAGTAACAAAATATTATGCATTAATATAAAGAAGCAGTAGAAGGTAAAACAATTTTGGCAGTCAATTTGATGTGGATGCTCAATTTCTATAAACAACAAATGCACTTCGCTGGAAATTTGCTCTAATTTTAGTATCACAAAGCAGCATATGTCCAATCAAATCAAACTACACAGCAGTGGCCTTTGTGCTTAATTGAGTGAGACGACAAAAGTCCTTACTCACTCAAATCCGAATTCAATTATTGTGACTGGCTGTTCTGTCGGTCCAGAGCTCGCTGACAGAGGCAGCAAAGAGTTCTTAACATGCTGGCCAAGTCGCAAGCACTTATGGACGCTATAGAATAATTCATGAAGAAGCACCACACAAAAGCCAAATATAACATTGGAGTATGATTAATGTATGAAGTAGTGAGCCATGCAACACAGCATATTTCACTCAAATGACTGAAACAAGAGTTGAAACCATGATGAGGAATGTCTCAAGAGCTCAACCTGTTTCTTCTTAGCTATTTAGTTAAAGTGCAGGTGCATTAACAAATAATATAGTTTAGATTTTATTTAAACCTTATTGTTATTTGTTATAAGAATAACTACTACTCCATACTATTTGCAAATATAAATATGCAATAAGATATAGGCAAACATAGTCAATACACAGCTGTTCGTGATCAAAATCAAATCAATTAATCGGTCAATCAAAACAGTCCCATAATTATTTGTGGCTTCTTTGCAACAGTGGACACATTGTCTATACAATGTAACTTAAAGTGATGAAAAATTCCAATATTGCTCATGTTTCTAATAGACTAAATCTGATTTTAAAAAACACTTTACATTATTCATAGTACCTATTATGTCCTACATACAGAATTGTATTTGTTAACAGTATAAAATATTCAGTAAAAAATGTACACAGTTGGTTCTCTGACTGACTCCAAACAAAACATGGAAGAACACACTCACTTGTTGAGATTTGATTAAACACTCTTCAAAAGGAACACAGAGGTTAAAGTGACACTATTGATTATTCACTTCACCTCACTGTAGCTGTGATTTTGTGGCGTGTTTTATTTTTTTTACCTTAAAGGAGATCTCGTACTGTTCTCCGCCCCAGATCTCCAGACCTGTGTCGTATCCTCCCAGCTCCCAGAACCACTTTCTGTCCACAGCAAACAGTCCACCTGCCATCACAGGCGACCTGGAGGACAAAAAAGATACAGTTACAGAGAATAAGTCAATAAAGAAAATAAAGTTTTTAGTGTGTTTTAAGTGTTTAAGTGTTTAAGTGGTGCTCCTCCACTTGGTAAAGTTTTGTCCATTCATCTTCTACCCATTTCTCAGCCATGATCGCATAAAAAAAGAGGTCAAGAACATTACATATCCTTATATCATCATAACCAAAAGTCCTATAGTAATCTACTCTTATAACAAGATATAATATTGCATCAGTACAAAGCACAGCTCTACTTAAGAGATGACAATCAGATTTCTTACTAGTTGTTGTTGGCTTTTTAGGCAGTTGTAAGGAATGCTGTTTAATTGTAAAGTTGTTGCACGGTGGTAGCTGTTTTATTTTAATTGGTATGATAATTCTTGGTAGTTGCATCTCTGCATCTCAGTGAATGGAAGTGAAAGAATATTACGTTAATTATTAGAAAATTACTTATAAAAGCCTAAAGGTGTGTGATTTGGCTAATAATTTCGGGGTTTCCACACTTTTCCATAGTCAGAAACTAATACATTTCTTTGGACAGACCTTGTTTTATGGTGTGGTGTGAAGTTATGTCCAAAAGCAGTATTGAGGTATCTTGACTCAACTGTTGAGTGTCTATGAGATCATTACATAATCATGATCCCTGGCATTCAGTAATTGAGGGGGCGACATTTTCCAATCTTTGTCTAAAGGGAGGCCAACAGTCACATTCTGAAAACCCCTGCTTTACAGTAAGCAGTAAATTAGGCTTCCAGACACTTATGAATCATAATTTTGAATCATCACTGTGTTAAGTCGCCAGACTGTAATTCGCATCTATAAAATGCACCGTATTGCATTTAGGGTTGTGAGCAGAAAGTAGTTAATGACAAAGGGAAACACTAAATACAGATTTAATTTATTTTTTATCTTATTCAACAACCCCGCAAATTACAAAGAACATTTATCCACAGACCAGTAGTCCAAAGGACATCATGATGACACTACCACTACCAACATCTAACAGACAACTATCAAGCATTTAATACTAAAAACATTTTGGCTGGAGTATCACATGGTATGCTCTGCCTTGGCACTTCTACCCTGGTGATCAATATGTTGAGCCACAGATATTACCCAAATTCAATACACTCACACTGTGGTCACTCCCATCTTCCATATAACAGAAGGTGTTTGCTCCATAACTCTCATTACTGTACACTTAACTAGTTTTCCTTAAACATTCAAGCCAGGTTTGTACACATGATCTTATGCTGCATAGCTCAATTTGATAACCACAGTGGATTAAATCCAGAGACATACAGTTCTTTCTAGTATTTTATTACCTTTTACAGACTGCAAGATGAGTCTGGATTAATTCCTCCCAGAGTTGTGTATGTCTGCTGTATGTGCTTGCACATGTTTAGCAACCCATTGACACTCTGCATAGTGCAAAACCAATTAACTCAGCCAAACCATTGTGAATTCTGACTGGTACGACAAGCTCTGTGGTGCTTAACAACATAATGGTCCTCAGCTCAGAATGCAGAGGGAGCTCCTCCCTGGAGTGGGACAGAATGAAATGTATTGAGTTTCCTATCAGGACACCAGTGTAGGACACTGGTAGAAAACAGGAGGAGCTGTACGGAATTGAAAGAAACTTTTCATTTTTATTTTGAGAGGATTCTGGGTATTAGATTATGATATATAGAGAGTGGTGGCTAACTACCTTTAGCTTTAACCTTATCCAAAAAGAAGACCATATAGTACTCTCATTTTTACACTCCTTAATATTTCTTGCACTAAAAGCATTTTTGACCAGAGTTTGAGGTCATTTGTGACCATACAGTTATGGCGGTCTCTCAGAAAAGAACATGGTTGAATTTAAAATTGAATGTGCTGGGGTACTACACCAACAAAAACATTCATAGAGCTTTATTACTCCACTTCATTAAAGTACAAAGAAAAGAGAAAGAACTGGAGGTCCTAATAAGTTGTAATCAGTCGGTGTCTCAGGTTGAAATTATGGTTCAGGTGAACATCTCTGCGGATCTATGCAAAGAGGGGTGTTATGGGCAGTTATGCATATTATATTGCATTTCTGCCAACTGATCCTCCTAAATCTTAGACACTGGACCTTTAAAAGATGAAATAATCACACATAAAACCTTGTGAAATCCACAAAAACATATTTTTTTTCCCTGCCTCCTTTTTTTGGACAATACACTGTATAGTATATTCTAAATCTGTGGAAAACTGTGATCCAGGCTTGACAAAACATATGATTGAGTGGAGACACAGGAGGCCCAGACGTTGCCCTTCACCTCTTTAAAATATGTTTGTCACACTGAATGACTTGATTTTCCTTGCTAGGTAACAGTGTATCGGAGCAGGTTATTGTCCATGACTGGTAATTGTTATATGCTGGAGAAGGAAAACTGAAGAAAACACAAAGCCAACACACCCACACACACATGTGCACGCACACACACCTCCCTAGAGAGGTGCTGAATTAAATGCAGTGGACTTTCATCAGGAGACAAAGGATACACAACAGTGGTTGCAGGGGGACAAAGGAATGGTGTGTGTTGTAGCTGTGTGCATTTGACTGCACAAAGTGTAGTGATTGCAAACTTGTATGGTCACTGGAGTGTGCGAGCTTAGAAAAGAGAGCAGTGCCACTGTGTGGGCACCGATTTGTGGGGTGGAGACTGTTAGCTCTTGTTTGCCAGAGGGAGAAAACACAAATACACTTCACCTCCCAGGAGTTGTGAGGAATGAAACACGCTGGCTTCAGGATAGACAACACTGATATCTCACAACTCAGATGAAGCTAGTGAACATGAGGATCGTTTAAACACAACAAGTTCCGGTTTAATTTCCAGAATAACAGCCAGAGGCATGTTTGGCTACAATGTTTACCTATAAACACTTTACTTTTTCGTGTTACCTGTCAAACCATTGTTGTTTTTACATTAAATTTGAGGCTCGATACATTACTTGAAGAACGTTCTACATTTCAATTTGAATTATAGAATTTTCCCAACTCTGTTTTTCTGCCTTAAGGCTTTTGCTGGTGAGCTTTTAGGCACCGGACTGCTTGGACATGAATCACTGTCATACTGGGAGCTGATGCTGGGTTTGAAGAAAAGGAAAGAGAAAAGAGCAGAAAAAAAGAGACAAGTTCTTATGTTTAGCAAAGTGCAGGTAGCATTTCAACACAGCAGCTAAAGGGCTGTAGTAAGCAGAGAGCCTACAATGGCAAACATTTCTTGAAAACCATTTCAATTTTTAATAATACTGACAAATATTTGGACATTTTTGTTCAAAGATTCCACTATTCTTTTATTTCAAAAGAGACTTGGTTTAGGGAATTCCTCTCACATTTACTTGCGCTTTTAAAACCAAATTACCACCATCAGAATAATTCAATACTCAAGAATTAAATCAACAGCTTTAGCTTAATTGAATTTTGTCAAGTTGATACAGTAGAATAAATTATTGGGCAAGTCCGAAAGGGACTACACTTTTCTATTTTGAGTATTGACTGTAAGACCAAGCAACATTGTTGTATATTGACCATTAGTTTTACTGTATCATGATGTGTTATCATTTTATAAAATTTGCCTGTCTAAATGAATGAGTAATAGCAAATTTAAATTAAACATTTTTAGTGCAGTTCAAGTTGACATACCACTCTTGAGCTGTCGTGCATGTCTGACCCTGCCATTTTATTCAAAATGTTCTTTTTCCACAAAAATGTTCAAATGCTTAGGACTGTCTTAAGAAATATACTAGAAGGAAAAGTGGTGCATGTGAGTAGGGGCTATAAGAAACTGTCTATGTACAGGGTCCAAAACTGTGTGGCTGAATTTTGTCCCTGAGCACACATGTAAACATTCACAACACACTGTTCAGGCTCATTGGGTTCCAACAGAAATAGCGATAGTTCTCTTTCTCTTTTCTGCCAAACAGCGAGCTACTGTTCAAAACCAGATGAATACACCTGTAGTTTCGCAACACCTAATTTAAAATGGTAATGCACTGACCCGAAGTCACCACTCAAATTCCTGCTGCTGCTGTGTTGCCTAGCAACTACTTTGTTTAACTGATGTTCAGGAACAAATTTTGGGTGAAAGATTGTCTTGCTGGATGGTGTATATATATATGCATGTGTGTGTGTGTGTTATATGTGTATATGTGTTTACAGCAAACACAAACACGCATATACACAGAATCTCTGCAATGCCAGACCGTCTGTTAGTAGCAGGGCCTCATACACAGTCCCTTAGATTACCTGTTTACACGCACTGTGAGGTACAAGCTCAATATCAACCTGAATGGTGGCAAATATGTGCAGCTAAGTCTTTCAAACATTAATTCTTGTAGTCTTTCAAAGAAAAGTAGCAAGAGAACAGTGCAGCTCTGAATGGCTGTAATTACCTTCTCGGCCATTTTGATGTTACATTTTATTTTTACCAAGGAAGGAAACAACCTTGGAAACACAGTGGCAAATTGGATTTGCACAGTACAACTGCATGTTTCTACTTTCAGACAGTGAGCAGCTCCACTGAATTAATATTGACCAGCACCGACTGAACTGACCTCAACAGTTCCGGAAACAACTAGAAAAATTCAATACCCTAAAAGTAAAATACTGGGCTGTGTATCAAACTTCAATACTTTTTGACTGCTGACTGAAATGTGTGCTTGAAGAAGCAGAGTAGGGGTTACTGGCACAACGTTCTTAGTCTTAATTATTCTTTTGGTCTGATATTTATTAACTTTAAAGTTCTTTATTTAATATTGATACACTGTACAGTTTGTCATACTTTTTCTAAGTAAAAAAAAGAAAAGAAAAGAAAATCTCCGGCACATTTGTTCCGGCACAAATCTGTCCCCAGCATTGATCATGAAAACTCTGTAGTACCAGAAACTAGGATGTAATATCCAGTTAGACTTCACTTATTATATGATTAACAGTAAATGATAATCATAGTTTTATAAAACTATAGTCTGTCAGACTATAACGAAATGTATTTTTGTGTTGATTGTGGCTTGCCCTGTGGATAACAGTAATTGTGTCCACTGCCTCGTTTCATTGATTTCAAGGGGTATCCAAGCAAATCAGACCTGGTGCCAGGCATTAAGAATAACTATATAAAAATATCCAATCTTCTCACTTAGGCTCTTGTTTGTTTTTGTGGGTCATGTATTAAATTGAGACTGTTTCATAACCAGTTAAGAACTCCTTGTAGTGCGTTTAAAGTTGTTATATGTCACACGTAACATTTGCCAAGAGCAGGTCTGCGTTTCTTCAGCTGGACAAAATCCCTGCAGGTCTTCCTTAGTCACTTTTCTTTGGCAAGTGTCAGTCCACTGGAGGGAAAAAACGATTTAACTCAATGGTCCATGAATATTCCAACTCAATTTAGATTTAATTAGAAATGCTCAAGTTGATATTCTCCATTTCAGTCTATTGACCTTGAGGAAAGCGAGTCAAGGCCGGAGCTCATCGCCAAATGAAACTCTGAAGCCCGAAGGAGGGATGAGAGAGAGACAGGAGTGAAAAGAAAGAAAGAAAGAAAGAAAGAAAGAAAGAAAGAAAGAAAGAAAGAATAAGAGAGGGGTGATGGCATTGACAAAAGAGACAGTGACAGAGGCATGAGAACCGGGATAAAATCATACTCCCAGGCACACATGCACACACACACACACACCTCCAAGATGGATTTTGCCATCCCACAGAGCCTCATTCTCCGCTGCGGCAATGTCAATCAGAATGAAAATGAAAATCTTTGCGACTCAAATTGGATTTGCACTGATGAAGGTCATTTCATTGGGCAAGAAGAGCAGACTAATTCACGAAATGAGGATTGATTCTGATTGTTCTGCAGCTCATTCCTTCTTCTTTAGTGTCTTATCTTCCTGCACCACAGGCGCCCTGCCTGATGATACCTACTGTATTTTACAGGACACCCAAATAGTCTTTGGCATCCAAACATCGAGAAATGTTTTCTAACTAATCCCTCAAGGCTTACAAATGGAGTGTCTGGCATCACATGCAGTTATTTGGCTTTACAAATAGCAAAGTGTGTCTCTGGGTAGAGTTTATTTATTCTGGCTTCCATTACTTAAAGGTTACCTATCTGTGCTGCTGGGTGTTGAGGAAGGTCGAAAGCTATCAGACCTGTTTGCACTGGGGTGGTATTACCTGGGGATCTGATGTTATATTGTGATATACTTGTGTATCCGCGGTTTGTCTTTGTTTAAGTCAAATTCAATAATAACTTTCCAAGGACCAACAAGAAAACAAGGGTGCAACTTCTCATTATCAGTTTATATTAAATAATTTTCAAATTAATTGGTTCATTATTTAGTCCACAGAATGTCACAAACTGTGACTAATTCAAATCACAATTTCCCAAATCAAAGTTAACAAAATCAAATATCATATTGTGTCCAACCAACAGACCCAAACCCCAAAATATTCAGTTTAAAATAATAAAAAACAGAAATGCAGAAAATCCTCGAATTTGCGGAGCTGGAACCAGCAAAAGTTTGGCATTTGGCTCGATAAATTACTCGCTTATCATTTTCGGTGAATCTACAATTGTGCAAAACAATAACACAATATTTGTATCATCATCTTACGACTATACTTCAGTGGCAACGAGGAAGAACAAACTGAAAGAAATGTGTACAGAACCAAGGAACCCCTTGTTAAAAAAGTACGACCCAATACAAAATTTCCAATTAACACAGGATTAATACTTTATAAAATAATAATATAACATGATCTTTGTGTTAAATATGGTTGGTAATTTGTGGTGGAATTGTCACTATACATACATACTGTACATCCACACTAAGGTGAGTAAAGCTGAAAAATATTTTGCGTCTGTCTACCCTAGCACGCAAGTCTAAAAGATGATGTGTGTATGAATGTGGATGCAAGGCAGGGCTGACAAAGAGCAAGTACACACAGAAAACCCCTTAGTGAATAATGAGGGTTACAAGGTCCTGTGTAGCTCATACAAAAGAGTGCGGCGCCAACACACCCAGTTGAAGGGTTTCGACCCACACGAGGCCTCTCGTGTCACAGATGTATGCACTCATGGCAGAGTAAGATAATTGGGATAAAGTCGTCTAGCAAATGTCAAATGTGTCAAAAATAACTGCACTTACTCAAAGGGTTCACTGGGGTCGTCCTTCTGCAGCTCTGTAGGGATGGGTATCCGTTTGTAGTACATTTCCCAGTCAAAAGCCCCTCGCATGGCGTCACCTGCCTGCGTCTCGTAGCCGAAGTTGTCGTGGTCGATCACGTCGATCATCGGACACACAATGGTTTTCCTGTTCTGCGCGATTCCGTCTAAGAAACACAGGCGGGTTGGTAGACAGTTAATAGAAATTCTAAGTGTGCTGAACAGATAATGGAAAAAAACATTGACATATACTTGAATCTGATTGTCAACTCAATGCATTAAAGAACAACCGATTATGATATATAAAAGAACCTGAGAGACCACCTGGTACATTAATATTTACCCTCTACTCTATAAGTACCAGTTCAAGCTCGTACTGAGCACCTACTCCTGAAGGCAACCGCTGCTGTGTTTGTAGCCAGTGTTACTATACTTGTTGTAAGAGTTTTAAACACGCTCGCATAAGTACAAAGATCACTTTCAGAATGATTTAATGTCAAACTAAACCAGTCATTTGTCTTATCACTTGACCTTGTAGGAAATTTTAAGTTGAAAAGATGAGTAGAGCACTCAATATTGCTCATATTGCCTAACACAAAAGCACTATTAGATGCAAAAACATGAGTTATACAGTAGAAGTGTATTTTGTTGAACTCAATCATCCTATTTCCTCTCTAAGATATATTGGGACTGAGAAGGTATCACTTCCCCCTTGAGGAGGTAACTTAGAGGTTTACTTACCAGGAGGGAACACTACTGGATTCACCATCTGAGAACCCTGTCACCTCATTTTTAACATTTTTTAAAAATTGTATGTGTAATTCAAATCTCTATATGTGAGGCATGTTTTTATTTAGTTTGAAGTAATTTGGTTGGCTTTAACCAGTACTTTGATTAATATTTGATTATTTAAATAAGGTATAATAAGGTAAGAATAAAGATTGGGTTCATAAAAGGAGGATGTAATGTTGATGAGTTGTGTGTGTTTGTTCCTCACCCAGCAATGGAGGCAGCCAGTTGACGTTGGCCTCGCAGTGGGAGTCCAAGAAGGTGATGACTTCTCCTTTAGCAGCAGCGGCTCCCAGCAGACGAGTCCTGATCAGCCCCTCCCTCTTCTTGGTCCTCAGGATGCGAACCTTCGGCAACCGCACCATGTACTCCTCTAGTGCCACCTTTAAGTGCTCTGCAGAGTTGGAAACAGAGAGAGAAGTAATCATTCAATAATCAGAATGGTAATATAAAATAGTATTGATGTCACTAAAAGGGCACAATAGGTAAATTAGGTTCTGACATGAAAGCATGAATTGTCCACAAAAATGTTCTCTTACAAAATAGATAAAAAGAAAATTAAACCATTAACAGCCACCATCAAAACAAGACATCTGCCTATGCCACATGCTCCAGACTGAAATGTTTCCCTTAAGGCCATTACATCAGAACACACTTTCACCCAATCTGAGATCAACTTTATATTTTCACTTACTTTTCTGCACCCATAGACATTTTTTAATGTTTACTGCAGACACTAGACAGAATGTCACCCTGAAGAGAAAGAATGCAACTGTGAGGAATGAAAAAGGAATCAAATCAGCCCCTCGTAGTGCAGTCATAAAGCCTTTTGGCAAAAAAAAAAAGCGTTTCTTCTCAAATTGCAATGATGCGCAACTTTTCACCAAACAACATTCATAATTCTGAACAAGGGAATTACAGAGACTGCATCCTCTTGTAATCTGTTCACTTAAGTGTCAGTGAGTAAATCATACAATGCAAGATTAAAATAAACTATTTAAAACTTCAGATCAAAACTGATTGAGTCTTTCTCAAACTGCACCGAAGCAGTAAATCTCAACACAGTGGAAGATGTCAACAAAACAGCCAACTTCTTTTGTCAAAACAGCAAATATACTAGAATACTGGAAGGTAAAAAAATATAAAGATATAGAAAAAAAAGGCAAATCTAAAAATGAAACAAAGCTTTCATCAATCAAAGAGACAATTATACATAAACATCTTTTCTCAAAGCTGCCAGTGACAGAAATCAATCATGGCCTAAATGGACCCTGTAAATCTTTCTGCTCAAACGTCCAGTCAGTTCTGACAGGTCAATAAAAAAAATGGAGCCAGACTCAAGGCCATGTTTCATTTGCTGTCTGTCTACTGTCACTGTGTCTCCAAAGCCGAAAACTGTCAACCATCGTAGAAAAACCCCATGAAACAGATTATCATTGCTGGTCCGGCTCCCAGACTAAGTGGTATAAGCACTTTAAAAACTTCTTGAGAGTACATTTTCACTGGGATAGGGCCATGAATTAAAGAGCCAATATGAAATATTATAGATTGGAAAAAGGTTAGCAAAACTCCAATTCTGCATTTTCTTTTAGTCCCTTCATTATCTATCTATGAAACTATCTCTCCATCTATCTCATGTATAAAGGCATCTGTCTGGTACCATCCATCCCGTTTCTTCTGTTTCAATCTTCAACATGTTGCAGAAATTCATTTGCATTTAATGCCATCTTGATTGGAGGATTTAGCATGTAGTGACTTGTTCCTTCGTTGTTTTCAACACCATATGAGTAGTTTATTATCTTCAGCTCGTACACAGTACAACAGCACTTCTCTTATGAGGCTAATATTAGCTAACTAACTTAAGATGTGACTTTTATTTTTTTAACTATCTTCAAAATTTGGTTTTCAACATTGACAAACCTAGCATATTGCACATCTAAGTACAGGAAAGAAGAAGTTACCTGAGGTTTGCTCAACTGTTACTGGATCACAGAGGAAAAGGGGATGGGGCTCATGATGAGTCAACTGGTAGTAACATTTTCCAGTCCTGTGTGAATGTACTGATGTGACTGTCCGGAGATGACGTCAAGAATTAACCAACCTTAAATACAGCTTTCAGGCCATGTCTTGTTTTGCCGACTAATGCCACTGGTTATTGTTCTTTATCATAATACCACAATTGTGCACTTTTTCAGGAGCCATAACCTTGTAAATCAATTCCAATCCAAAAAGGTTTATACTTTCACTTTATGCTTGGCAGTCCATCAGTGGAATTTCAACAATACGACTAGTTAATAGTTTTGATCTTCCTGTTGGCTGTGGGGTTTTTTTTCTCTGCATCTGTCTCTAAACTTCAACATAAGAAAAGTTTGTAAGGCCTGACAAAAAGGGCCATTATTTGCAGAATAAAGGAAGACATTAATAAAATATTACCTCTGTCAGTGTTCCTCATTGATAGCAGTTCTTACAAATGGGCCACTGTCACTGAGAAAACCCGCTCCAACACAACCACTAATTGGATTCTGAATATCAGAGAAGGGGGAGGAGGAAAAGCAGCAGCCCTTTGAAACCTTCACAGGACAGAACTGCAACTGCTAAAATGACTGACATGATGTCTTCATCTCTGCACTCCTGTTGTTCCTTCCTGCTTTATTCTTGCTTTTATTTTTATCCATCCTTTGTCCCTTCTCTTCATTTTCCCTCCTTCATTTAGCCTGTCCTTCTGTTTTGATGCTGTTTGGCATCGGGGAGACACTCCTGATCCCAATGGACAACTGAGACGTTGAAGCACGACCAGCCAAAACCAACAAACCTCAAGCCAGCAAGTCCTTAGATCTGTCTCTGCCCTCTCACTCTCTCTCCATCCCTAATTCCGTTCTCTCTCCTGTGATTTATTTTTTAATGAGGCTGAGTAAATGACAGCCCATCTCCTTAAGTCAAACAGCATCAAAACCCACCGTTACTTCCCCCGGACAAGCTAGAGTGTTTGGTCAAGACCAGATCTGACCAGACATTATTCAAGCAGAGTGAACCAAATTAGAAGGGAGCAGTAATCAAGACTGGGGTGAGGAGTGCTGTCTATCAAAGTGCCACATAGGCCTCTCCTGGTTAATCCTGAAAGCCCCATTTATGCAGCCTGCCTGAAGTGGTCTAGCTCAAATTAACCCATGTTATATGTGTTAACGTTACTGCCAGAGGGTTTGATTTGAAGCCAAGGGGATGGCTTGTTTACCAAAGTCATAATTACATTTGCTTGTGACATTAACATACAGTGCAGCAAAAAAAAATATGGACAGTAAGCTGAAACAATGAGATAAAGTGTTTATTTTCAGCTTTGATTTGAGGGTGTTCACATTAATCAGATGAAAATTGTAGAAACCGTGTCCCTTTAATTCATGGCCCCGCAATTTTAATAGATATTTAATGGATTATTACTATTCAGCACCGTATAAACATCATTTGCATTTAATGTTGTGTTTTGTTACCCTTTGTTCATTCTCATTTATTGAAGTAATGACCATATGCTCCTATATGACTGTCCTCCATATGCTCCTATATTACGTTTTTTGTAACGTGTTCTAAACTTTAGACCGTATCCTTGTATTTTAGTGATATTTTCTGTATTAACTTACAATATCAACCTGCCCTGACTGCTGACTGAACTACGTCGATTTAGCTAAATATGGCACATCAGAAACTTATTAGTCAATTATTATTCGTCCCAGAAAAACAAAGTAACGTCAACAAGTCAAGTAAAAGTAATTCACCTATAATTGACAAATCTCTACTTATAGTATATTAAAGTTAGTCCTCACATAATTAATATGTACTGCAGGGTTTTCACAATGAAACAAGCCATGGGGTTTCCATAAGGTCGCTGCCACCCTTAGAGGGAAAGGGTGAGCCTTGACCTTCATGACACAGCAATAAATCAGCCCATTAGCAATTAACCATTAGAAGATTGATTCAGGCTATGCTTTTGCCCTGCATGGGATGATTCTTACATAACCTTCCTAATGATAGTCAGTGAGATTAAACAATGAACATTTGCATTACATGTACAGCACATTCAGAGAAGGAGAGGGGGAGCGGGGAAGGTTACCGCTTCTAATTATGAATGGTTAATTTGACCTGAATAAATTGGAATATGGCTCCTCTGGTTTACTGAAAATTGGCGAGGCAATAAATCAC